CTTCTGGAGGAAGGAGAGAACACTCATTGGGAGCTCAGGTTGAGGCATTTTGTCGTAGAGATAAACAGGTGATGTCCATCCCACGAAATTGATCCTGTTGTGTAATCTCTTCCAGTGACACATAGGCTGGTTAGGGTGTGGTTCAAACTGGTGAAAAGGGCTGTAGTGGTCAGAGGCTGCTTTTTTTTTTTTGGCTAGTACTAGATTATTAAAAGTAAGGGACATGGTGGCTCAGTGGCTAAGATGCTGAGCTTGTCGATTGGAATGGTTGACATTTCGGCAGTTCGAATCTNTCCTTTCCTTTCCTTTCCTTTCCTTTCCTTTCCTTTCCTTTCCTTGTTTCTCTCTTCCTTTCCTTTCCTTTCCTTTCCTCTCCTCTCCTCTTCTCTCCACAAATGATATCTTACATTTACCCTACAGACCAGGATTATGGATAAGCGATAGATTAGTTTCAACACTTAGCACATACCATAGTATACTTGTTCGTTGGTCAAATTAGCTGTGATTTATTATCAGGAATAACTCATTGACTCTTAAGCTGTAAGGAAAATCTCAGAACCAAGTAGGTACAAGTTTCTTCCCATTTCTTTAAACTACTTCATAGTTTGGAAGGTTCACTCCATTGCAAATGAAATTACTAGAAATCTCTATTTATTAAACTGGTCTTGTTTAATAAAAACAAACCAGTTTAGATTAAAACAGTAAATGAATACATCATAATACCCAGACACGAAAGAAATGAAATCGATAAACAAAATTCTTAACATCCCCGATGAAACTGTTTCTTCTTCCAGGAATGTGTACACATTTTCCTTAAAGAACAAACAAACATGAAGAAAATAATAAGCAAACAAAATGAAGGGGGAAAAAATAAACACCCTCCTTGGAAGTAAAAAAAAAAAAGTTCCTCCTAGTTCTTTTGTTTCTTTCTCTCCCTCAGCCTCCAGTTTATGTTTAAGCAAAAAGCTTTAGACAATCTTTTTATATTTCAAAAAAACCTCAGTGTGCCTAATCCTGCCAAAATTAATAGAACATTCAATGCTTGAATGGTGATTTTGCAAAACAAAATAGAAAAACCAAAACAAAACAAGAAAAGCCACATATTTCTGGAGCTAATGATAGAACTTGGTTATTAATTATGTTTTTGCTCTTGAAGTGTCTGTTTTTCATATTTAAGCTGTGGGTGAGCTTTTAAATGCTGGGGGGGGGGAGAAGAAAGCAGTACCAGTTTGGGGTTCTACCACAAAACCGCGGTAGACTAAAGCGCGCTCGACGAAAGCGCGTACCTGACGTCATCACAGCGCGACGAAAACATCACGCTGTGAGCGGTAAAGTTAAAATTAACGCGAAAACCTTACCCTAACCCCCCCAAACCTAACCCTAAACCTAACCCTAAACCTAACCCTAAACCTAACCCTAAACCTAACGCTAACCCTTAACCTAACCCTAAACCTAACCCTAACGCTTAACGTAACCCTAAACCTAACCCTAACCCTTAACCTAACCCTAACCCTAACCCTTACCTTTACGTGAATCGGCTTGCTTTAAAAGCGCTTTTTAAAGCGCCCTTTTTTCTCCGCGGTCGTATTTGTCGCGCTGCTGATGACGTCAGGTACGCGCTTTAATCGGGCGCGCTTTAGTGGACCACGGTTTTTTCGTGACACGCTTGTTTGGTATATCCTGGGCAGCTCTGCCTGTGCCATGTGCCTTCCAAATGTGTGACTCCCATTCCTAGGTCTTGTGAATTGGAGATGATGGGAGCTGTAATCCAGCACATCCATTATTGAGAACCGAGTTGAGAAAAGCTGCTATTGTATTTAATGTAGAACTAAAAGAAAGTCACTGCTGAAAGATTAATTCAGTATCTGGCACAAGTCTACTCCTAGTGCCACCTAGAGGTTTTTTTAAATGTTCATGTAGCCTAGTCATTACTACATTTGCTGCTGCTCACATGTACAGATTACATTCATATTTAGAATAGAATAACAGAGTTGTAAGGGACCTTGGAGGTCTTCTAGTCCAACTCTATACCATTTCAGACATTTGAAAATTATTCTGCTCTTCTCTTCTCCTCCACTCTATTCCACTCCACTCCTTACTCCACTCTACTTTACTCTTCCTTTTGATTTTTCTGCTCATGAATTCCATACTTTACTTATCTCTCATGGACTCTTTCTCATTCATTCTTCCCCAGTTTTCCCTATTGGTGTCCCTTTGCTCATTTTAGTAATTTCCCTGACCTTCATTTCAATCACATATCTTCTGGTTGACTAGAATAGGAGGTTTTAGTCTCTGCCAAATGAGCTGCCAATTCCTACAAAATTTTCCACTAATAATCAACATTTCTATGGATGGAACCTTTTTTGGGGGGGGATTGTATATTGATGCATGTTCTGGGGTACCCGAGCAGTTCAGTCAATAGCTAGGGCTTCCAAACAAATCAGCTTTTAAATCATGAATTCCGTGTTTCTCCCAAAATAAGCCCAAACGGAAAAATAAACCCTAGCATGATTTTTCAGGATGGTCGTAATATAAGCCCTATTCCAAAAATAAGCCCCAGTTAAGGATCAACCAGATGGATGTATTCAGTACCGTATTTTCCCCAAAATAAGACCTAACTGGAAAATAAACCCTGATGCATCTGTTGGAGCAAAAATTAATATAAGACCCAGTTTTATTTTGGGGAAAACACGGTAATAATCCAAAAATACATAAAAATGGAAATATGTAGGAGATATGTGCAGTTATGGGGAGGAAAGGAGGTATAATTCTTTCAAGGGTAGCCACGTTGGTATACACCCACCCCTCTGAACAATCAAGTAATGGCAGACCTCTTGCTGTCTCTCACCTTTGTTATTCCCAGTTTGAGCTGGTGTCCCTCAGGTGTCCAGTGCAATGCCATGGATGCTGACTTTAATGGTCGAAGGTAGAGTATGCCATAGCATCCAAGGAAGCTTCTGCATTTGTCATTGCCAGCTTTTTGTGTGATGTCTGTAGCCTCATTGCATCCTCGGTATATCTGCTGGCTTGGGTGGTGTGCTGTTTCGATTCAGTTTCTTTGAATGTAGTCCCTTTACTTGGTGGTTTCCAGAATTTGGCTGCCTGGTATTTGCGGTCACCACCTCCCAGCCCTTCCTTATGACTTGAGCTGGAGCACAGAGACTTGTTTAATGTCCCGCTAAAGTTTACAAGACTGCAACTTAAATAAGAATCTTCTGTATCACCAAGTCGAAGAAAATGGGTATCAGTTCTTCAAAGCAGGAAAAGGCCTCCTGCTACAATGAGCAGGGTTTGGATTTTCTGGAATTAACACAGATTGCAATGCAACTTGCCAAGACCATGGATGGACTGGTTAAAATGGTACCAGATGGGAATGTCATCTTTGTGGAGAAAAATCTCCCTAATCACCTGGAAACCATTTTTGCTCACCATAGGTGACCATGGGAATAACTCCTGTTACTTCCACTGCAATCTCTTCGTTTGTGGAATGTTTCCTCTTTTACTAGAATCAGTCTGGCTTTCCAAATTTAGAAAGAAATATGCTTAACGAAGCATATGCATGTTCTTATCCTTTCAAATGTGCAAACTGAACAAAAACCTAAGTCCCATTTAATGTTATGCATGAGAAGCACAGGAGGTGGAATTATGCCCCGGGTAGTTAATGTAAAAATTAATCATAAGTGGCACAAGGAATGATACTACACTATATGAAGCCGAAAACAATCATTGCAAGAAAGTAAAAACCAACGTAGGAAAACTCAGAAGGTGTTGTAAATATGTGTGGAATGGCAACATATAAGCAATGAAGGTTTTATGGCCAAGCATATTTTGATCACCTTACTATTTTTGTGGCGTCTGTCTAACTAGCAGAACAAAAACATTGCAGCATAGAATTTCCTCTTAAACTTTCGACGTCTATGCACAGCTTTTTCCCAAATAGAACAAGTCAACAACAATAATTTTGTTGCCGAAAAGGTCCCAAAAGAGAATGAAACTTTAAACTGAAGCTGAAAAATCAGGGAGGAAACAAAAAGGGTTGCATGGTGAAGTCTTATAATTAAAGAAGCCCATAAATGCCAAAGTCCAGCCTTGGTAATGTTTCTGACATGCTTTCTTTTAGGAAAAAAATTACTAAAGCAAAATCTCTTTGATTAAATTGAGTAAGGCTAAAAAATGCATGCATTTCTCTGCTCGGCATTAACTGGAATCCATTGTTTAGCAATTCTTTATTAGAAACAACTTTACTAAAAAACAACTAACTCGTGCTAAAAGTACTAATAATGCTCCTCTTGATCTTTCCTTTGCATCTTTGTACAAAGGTATCTTTCTCATGAGGAGGAAGACCAAATTTATACTCAATACAAAGTAGGGCTTTTTTCCCCTAAAAGTCCTTGAGTCTGCACATTTATATATACACTAGCTGATAACCCAGCATTGCCCAGGTATTTATTTTATAGAGGGAAAACGTCCGGACCAAATGTAATTTCTAACGTTGGCTTTTCCCCCTTGTGGAGTACTGTGAAGCCGTTACCATGGCAACTCCACTGTGCTGAACAGTAGAAGCCATGTTATGGAAGTACAGTAGAATCCATTTTAAGACATAACAGGCTATATCTTAACAAAACACACACGCCGAGAGGTGTTAGGGGCGTCTTACCCCCCACAGTACCTTTTTCTAGAGAATATGTCTTCTGTGTACCAAGTTTGGTTGAAATTGCTCGAGGCGTTCTAGTATTATGCTGGATCACACACACATACACACACACACAGAGCAGAAAGTTGCAAAGGAGCAATTGCAGGTAGACTGGGTCTCTAATTCTAACAGTAATGTGCTAACATGCTAACTAACCAAGGAAACTAGGTAGATCACCTTACAGCTAAATAATATCCAGGGCAATATTACTTGGAAATCTCCTGTAGAGCTTGCTTAAGCCAACAAGATTTTATAGACTGACCTCTCAAGTACCGGGAGAAACCTAATGCCTGTCATTTGTCTTCAGTTACAGCTTGGAAGGTCTTTCCGGAGAGGCTGATGATACTACTAAGCCATCCTCAAGTCTCGATGTAGCATCTATGAACACCAAAGACCTTCGGCGGAGTCCCCTAGCAAATGATGAACGAGGATCACTGGTCTCGCTCACCGAAGAGGAACAGGAATCAGAGCTAGGAGAAATGAGAAGCCAGGTAAGGAGAAAAGTCATTCCAAGAGTACAGTATCCTTGCTTAGTTTGCATGGTATACAAAGCCAGGTGGGGGGCAATAGCATTTTGCCTCCCTTGATGTCAGAAGGCCCCGTTCCTTTTCATAATTTTGCTACAAGTTTATCCTCAAATCAATTTTCACTTTCCACTCTTGTGATCAATGCTAAGAGAGTTGAACAGAAATCTACCAATGTATTTAAGGACCACCTTCTAGGACCATCCAGCTATGACAGCAACAAACTGACTGTCAACTCGTAAAGCACTCTTGGCCTGCTCTCGAGTTGCCATAGGCAGGAGGGGTGAAAACTGAGCAGTATGGCAGCCCCAACCAGAAGCATATTCCACACATACTTTTCTCAAGGCTGTATCCCAGGTTACCTACAACAGCCAGAGTGGCGTGATCTCTACAGCCCGCAAAAGTTCTCCATTGGAGAATGTGATTTAGGATACACCCTGGGAGGAGGGGGGAAACAGGGTAAGAGCCAAGGTGGCGCAGTGGTTAAATGCAGCACTGCAGGCTACTGCTAGATCAGCAGGTCAGTGGTTCAAATCTCACCGGCTCAGGGTTGACTCAGCCTTCCATCCTTCCGAGGTGGGTAAAATGAGNTAGCGCTGCGTAATGGAGTGAGCTTCCATTACTTCTCCCAGCTTCTGCCAACATAGCAGTTCGAGAGCATGTAAAAATGCAAGTAGAAAAATAGGAGCCACCTTTGGTGGGAAGGTAACAGCATTCCACACGCTTTTGGTGTTGAGTCATGCCGGCCACATGACCACAGACACTTCTTCGGACAATGCTGGCTCTTCAGCTTTGAAATGGAGATGAGTATCGCCCCCTAGAGGCAGGAACGACTAGCACTTATGTGCAAGGGGAACCTTTATCTTTACCTTTAGATTATTAAAAAGAGACATATTTCCAGCTTACAGTGTAGTGACGAAAGCCTTATAGGGAAACTGTCGCAAATCAATACAGGTAGCCCTCGACTTAACTAACACGAGTGAGCCCAAAATCGATCTTGCTGAGTGAAAAAAAAATTGTTAAGTGAGTTTTGCCCCGTTTTACGACTTTTCTTGCCACGTTGTTTACGGGAAGCACTGCCATTGTCAAGTTAGCCACACGCTTGCTGAGTTGAATTGGCTTCCCTGTTGACTTTGCTTGTCAGAAGGTTGCAAAAGGGGATCATGTGACCCCAGAATGCTGCAACCATCATAAAGATGAACCAGTGGCCAAGCGTCCAAATGTAAACCCTGTGAACGTGGGCATGCTGCAACGGTCGTAAATGTGAAAAATGGCCATGAGTCATTTTTTTTCAGTGCTGTTGTAACTTTGAACTGTCGTAAGTCGAGGACTGCCTGTAGCATTTTTTTTTTCATACAACACAACCTCCCTTTTCTTCCCCTCCATTTAAAAAAAAAAACCCACTTCCTTACTTTTGCTGCTATAAATTTTGCCTTGCTTTGCTTTGTAAACATGCCTTTTGCTGTCTCCTTTGCCCCGCTGTGGCCGTTCTTCCTTTTTCTTTGTTATTGTCTGTTGTCGGTGTCGAAACGGCATGCTCTAACCTCTGCCATTAACCCACTTTTCAGCCCAGGGATGGATTCAGCCACCTAGACGAGTTTTCTTCTCCTTCAGCATCTCTCCTCTCATTCCTAAGTCTAAAACTGTCTTTTCTATTGACTCTTCTTCCAGTGATGAGGAGGAGAAGTTGGAGAGTAAGTATTCTTGTTTGGGCAAAAGGATGCTGCCGTTTGCTTAGTGCTCCATGGAGAAGCTCAGAATCTGGCATGACTTGGTTGAACGCAAATGCTAGCTAGCGGCTCAGTCTCGGCTGAACGGCTTTGTCTTCTTCACTTGTCTTCACTGCCGCTTGCAAATTCTAGCCCAAGTGCTTTTCAGCTTACTTTCCTGTTATTTGGCCTACAAGGTTTTCCTAAGGTTCCTTTTCTTCCTTTTGCCCCTTGGGTCAATAAGGAATGTTATGTGATACAGAACTCATGCGTAGGGTGTTATGGTCCACAGATTTGCCCTATCATCTTTTATTTATTTATCTATTTGCATGTAGGAACTCCCACTTGGACTCCACGCTGATGTGAGTCTTTGTACTTGCTTGTGTTCAAAAATATTAAATTTTGCTGCAGACTAACTTACCCTTAGGTTATTTCACATGAACAGGTGTTCAGAAAAAAAAAAGACAGCACTTTTATGAAACATGTAGAAGACCTAGCTCACACTTTATTTGATTGTTGCTTGCATAAGGGGCTGAGAAACGGGTACCTTGGTCCATATACCAAATGAAGGCCCCATTGGGATCCCCATATCAAAACAACTTATCTTATGTGCAGCCAGAACCAGAAAATAACAATTAACACAGCACAGTACTTAAGCAAAATGGTTCGGTTGAGATCTGCATATCTGAGACTGATTGGGGTAGATTGCAGGGGAGACACCAAAATATAATTTTATCATATTTTATCTATGGCTTAAATTATTGCATTCTATTCCAATTTCACTTTAGACTGTATTTTATTCCAATTCCATTTAAAATTGTATTTTATCAAATTCCATTTTATATTGCTTTTTTTAATCAAATATTAGTAATCATTTGTTTGGAACTTTGCACTTTGATATTGCCCAAGGGGCTAATCAATAAAGACTCAGTGTCAATCTGAAGTGGAAAAGGAGAAAGAGCATGAAACATGTAAATTAAGAAATATTAGAAGGGGCTTCCCTGCAAGGATCCTTGGGAAAAATAATAATAATAATGAATTTGTTGTGGTTGTGGGATAACATTTTTTTCTTAGGAAATAAATGTGAAAGGGAGATTTTAATCAGGAGATAAGCTCATTATTGGAGGTGGTTAAATCCTGAAATAGTTAGGACAAATCCCTGGACACAAGTTAGTTGTTTTCTAAAGAGAGATTTTCCTAAAGCAATCCTTTTAAATCACTCTTTAAAAATTGCCTTCCTCTAATGGCAAGCAAGATAAAATCCTGTATCCTTCTTGTTCTCCTTGCCTTTTGATGCCAGATCATGAGGAAATAGTTAAGACAGTTTAAAACAACAACAACAATAATAAATAACCCCACTATAAATGTAAACCAAGGAACACGTGGTCATTTATGGTCAAGGAATAGACAAGGTTGCCTTGAGGGATTTGGGATGATTTGAAGGAGTGAGGATTTGCCATTGGGGGATTATTTAATTCCCCCCCCCCAATATGGTATAATTTGAAGGACAGAAATTTCAATATCCCTGGCACATCATGAACCTACCTACAGTGACCTAAACCTTTTAAGCAAATAAAACAACTATAAATTAATTTCAAAGGGAGGTACTTCGAATTGTGTCTCCGTGTGCATCACAATATAAATATGTACATCTTGAACATCTGCAGTAGGAAACTTCTGTTCAGATTCAGACAGCTTAAAGGTGCCACATGAATCCTTTTGGCTGAATTTCTTACCAGAAAGTTACCAAGGCAACTCCTTAAAGCATGTTTCTTTTGTCCTTTGCAAAGGTCTTCATGTGATCTCCAACCTTTCTGCCTGGGTATAAAACTCACAAGAAAATCTTCCGCACTTAAGTCTTGAGCATTGTTGGCTTCAGCTTGTTGACTCTCCCCAGCAATTATCCTAAATTATTACCTATTTGACTGCTTTCTCTAATCTATTTTTGCTGGGAAATGTGAAAGAAACTGTTTAGATTTTGAACCATGTTTGTATTTGTTCTTTTCATGGATTGCCTGAAATAATCAGAGACACCAACTTGATCTGGCCTAGGCTTCCCAAGAGCATGCAGCAAACTCCTTGTCCTGACAAAAAACCCTTTTATTAATTTACTGTGAATTCTACTGTGAATTCTTCTCATTCACATCCAACAAAGGGAGGAGTTACCGTCACAGAACTTATCTGGCTTGGAGAGCTGCCAGGCTGATATGTGCAAAACTTGGCAAGGAGTCTTGGAGAATCATGAACCAATTAAGTGAAGTCATTGTCTCCTGCAAACTCCACTCCCCTTTCGCTCCTCTTTTATTTCCTCCAGGAGGCCATTTATCGTTCACCTGTGGCCTTACTCCCAAGTCGACCTCTGTTCTTTACCTGTTCCCTTCGTCTGGTAACTCTGCGCACGCTCACACTGGGAACAGGCTCCAGCTGTTCTTTTGCCCCACTGATGTCTGACTCTGAAGGCAGCTGATGACTGGCATATGGCCCTGGCCCCCTCTCTGCCTCCGACACAGAGCCCTCATCAGAGCCTTCCCCAGACTCCAGGACTAGCCCATGTTCCTCCCCAACCTCCTCACTGTCTGAATCTGCTGCCAGGTCTGCTGGCCATTGGCGGGCCACAAGACAACTTGGGAAGACTCTGAAGTATTGACTCTAGATGTGGTCCCATCAGTTGGTTCTCAAAATAACTATCTTCATAAAAAGAGAGGAGGAAATCAACATAACTGCTCATTTATAATCTTAATAAAGAGTATGGTCTTCTAGATATCATAGTCAACTCTTATCCTGCTAACACGTATTGGATGAATTCAGAATCAAACATCATCTGGCACTGGACATTTTCTCCATCCTGTCATATTGGAACATATGTTTTAATAAAATTACACACACATATTACTATATATGTTTTGATTTTGGAGGATTTTTAACTCAAATTCTTTCTCCGTGTGTTTTTGTAGGCATCCGATCCTTCAGCAGCTCCTTGACTCAAAGGTGAACTTTTTTTTATTAATATCTTAAACATGTTCTAAATATAGTTTGCTCCTTTCTTGAATTCAACAAGAATTTAAACAAAGAGGATCATTGGTGGTGATAGTGTTTTTTTTTTAAAGCTTCATTTTTATGTAAAAAAAATGGCCCATTGATCAACTGATTGAAAACTTAAATCTACATATCTCTGAATTGTAATCAAAAAACTTGCCAAATTTACTGGTTTGGGGTTGATAAAGGTATAAGAGCTCTTTGTTTTAGAAAAGGAAGTATTGCTGAGCAATCAAGATTGGAACTAATCACAAAAGGAATTGATTGATATTGATTGATTGATTGATTGATTGATTGATTGATCAAGGGCCATTTTCAGCCTTTAAGAAGCATGTGAGAGACCATATTCTGAAAATTGGGTAAAATGGCTTTGACATGATTTAATTGTACTTAAAAATTAAGTACATTTGTTCTGCAGGCAGTACCGTAATTCCTTCCTATGATACATTCAAATTTTCAACTCAGTAGCAGGTTTCTTGAGAATATGGGGACTGAGGTGACCTTTGGACGGGGGAACATTTGCTTTGAAGCAAACTTTGGTCCTTTCTCCTTGAAATTGTTTCTGTATCTTGAACTGCACCCTAGGCAGTTCAGATGAAAATGCTGTGTCCCCAACTTGCAACGGATGAGTTCTTGTGCATTGCCTGAAATGCTTTATCTCTTGGCTTTTAGCATCAGCGAGGAGAGTGGCAGTTTCCAGCCCCCCAGCCCCTCAAGAAAAGATTTGGAAGGCAAAAGTGGAACGAAAGTCAGCCGTACCTTCAGCTACCTCAGGAATAAAATGTCCAGCAGTAAGAAGAGCAAAGTAAGTAAACCCAGGGGTTATGTTTCCAAGACGAGTGCTTTGAGGATCAGGGATGTTGTCTTTACATTTATTTGTTTATTTATTTTATTTTATTGGAATTTGTCAAACATAAACGAGAACAAGAATAAGAGAATAAAAATTCAACGACAGGGACGATAGGCACGCTAATGCACTTCTGCACACCCCCATACTGACTATTTAAGCATGAAGTGAGGTCCGCAGAAGTCAATTTGTAACTGAAATTCTGAAAAATTGTAGCTGAGATAACTGAATCAGGTAGGGCATTCCAGACTTGGACAACTCTGTTACAGAAATTATATTTTTTACAGTCAAATTTAGAACGATTTATGTTGAGTTTTAGGCGGGCGGTTGTTTCGGTGGTTGTCAAGTCCATCTTGATTTAAACCCCTTTGGTAAGGAGATGACCAGGAAAGGAAGAGATTCCTATGTAAAAATAACTAGGAACATTTTCCTTCCAACTGCAGCTATGACTTTATGCTAATGACAACAAACAAGAACATGGTAAAGATTTGGGGACGTGGTGAAGAGACGTGGTGACTCAGTGGCTAAGAGACATGGTAAAGGGATGTGGATGAAGGGACCTGTTGGCTCAGTGGCTAAGACACTGGGCTTGACGATCAGAAAGGTTGGCAGTTAGAATCACTAGCGCCACGTAATGGAGTAAGCTCCTGTTACTTGTCCCAGCTTCTGCCAACCTAGCAGTTTGAAAGCATGTAAAAATGCAAGTAAAAAAATAGGGATCACCTTTGGTGTGAAGGTAACAGTGTTCCGTGCGCCTTTGGCATTAAGTCATGCTGGCCACATGACCACGG